CCCCCCCCCACCCAGAAGATTTGTTTGAAGGAAAAGTGGAAGCTGCTTTGCTTCCTCCTGGAAGTGAACTGCCACACTGGTTTGATACATGGTCTCAGGTTGGAGCCAATCTCCCTGCCACTCAGATGAGGGTTTGTCTGATTGTCCTAAATCAAATGGCTGTCTGGGTTTATGTGTCTTCTGTGATGTATGTAGACTTTACATTGGACTCTTATTTTCCTGATTGTCAGCTAATGAGTTTCAGGATAAAAAGCCTGAGACACTTCCTTCTAACAGGTCACCAATACCGTTTTTATCCCAGTGCTTTTCCTTGTTCTCAGTGGTCAACAGACAAAAATAACCTCCTGCCTTCCCAACCTGGGCAGCTCCTAGAGTCATCTGGTAGGTGAGAGCTTGTGCTTTTCCCTGAAGCACAATCTGCACATCAGTGTGGTGGAGATGAGGGGAGTGAGGTCACTTCCATCAAGTCTTTTAGCTCTGCAGTCATGACCATCGTATGCAGGCAATGATTAATATTTCCACTGTGATATATCAACAAGAAAATGGTGACAGGGTGGTGGGAGGGGGAAAGGCTCCTGCATGGAAGTGGTATATCTTATAAGCCAGGTACACAGAGTATCAGGCGCGATCTTTGTGGTGTTTATCTGCTCAGTCTTGAGCAAAGTCATGGATGAACTATGTCATTTCCACCTGATGAATGAGAAGCATAGGACTAAGAGCTGCATCTGGAGTTATCTTCCAGGACTGAAATTCTGTGGAGGTTATATTGTTTCAGGTGTCAGCAGGGATTGCTAATGCTTGTGATACAGATATGATTTGTCTTCAGGATGTGTGGTTCTAATACCTTGGTCAGGAAAGCTGCTGTATGTCTCCGTGCCACCTGGGGCATGAGTAGGGGAGTCTGCTTCTTTCCCTGGCATCCTAGGTTGGCTAGTCAGACTCTCCACCTCCAGGTGAGATCATCCAATAACAACTGTGGCCATCCCTGCAGATGGAGTTTTGTTCTGGGTTTTTAACAATTTAGCGAGGTTTTTTCCTTCTGCTATGCCTCTTACCATGTCTTTAACTCTTTCTTATGGCTTTTAAAGAACCCATGGCTGCTTCATCCATGACAAGCATAGGGCAGAGAGTGGAGGTTTTTACCTTCTGAAAGGTAAGGAAGATTGAGCCTGCTGTCATAGATTCATCCCCTCCCAATGTCTGCAGTAGGCCATGCTCTTTAGAGTCAGGTTTGTCCTTCGGATCCACCCAAAGTTCCTAACTTAATCTCATCTAAAAGATGTGTGCTTTGTTTTTTCTCCCCAGGTAGCATGCTGGATGGTAGGTTGGCTTTGTCTTTATTAATTAGTAGGATATATTACCAGGCTACTCAGCACAGGCTTCCCAGCATTCAAGTGTGAGATATAAGGGAATAAGGGGTTTGATGCAGACTTTTGCTGACTTAGTGTAACCAATTATTGCAAAGGTGCAAAAGGATTGGGGCAGTGGTATCAATTGTATAAGACAACAAGGGTTCATTGGTTGAAGTAGCAACTGGAAGACTTTGCAGATAGTCTCTCATTTTCAGCTTTGCAGAGCTGATGGCTGGTTTTTACATTACACTTTCAGCAAGTGTTAAGCTGAGTGCTATGGACTTGGTGCAGAGCTGCTTTCAGGTGAATGGTTACTTCATTGACAGTTTTGAGCTCTGACCCCAAGTATCTACATGGAGAGTACTGCCTGGAATCTGCCACAGGGTGTGCATGTGGATACACATTCAAGCAGAAGAGCTGTTTATGTGCAAGTGTTTTCAGAATGTATTATCCCATGAACTGTCTTTTCCCCCACTGGAATTTTCCTGCATTGATACTCCTCACTCTCCTTTTTAATAGCCTTTACTCACTTTTTTTTTCTTTTTTTTTTTTCTGTGATATAGGTGCTTGTTTCATTTACACTCACCTGAAGTTTCTTTTGCTGCTTCTTATTCTTTAATTGCTCATTCACACAGACGATTGTCCTTAAGATTTGGTACCTCCATATTGCAATCTGTCATTGTCTTGTATCATGTAGCCAACTCAGATCTTCTATAAAAGATCCAAATGTTATATGCAACCTTGTCAGTGAGGTAAATGAGAAATGAACAGTTGCAGTGTGTTAGCAGGCTTCTCATAAGGAACCATTAGGAATGTGTGAAGGAAGGAGAAAAGGAAGAGAAAGGCCAGAAGCAGGCAGGTAGTTTTTAACAATGTCTAATGTAATAAGCACTTCGAAAAACAGTAGAAGGATTGTCTTCATAAACATATGCTTCAATAGATACTATTTTAGTAGCTTGTATGTGCCCTTCAGGGAGAATGGAGCTGTTGGTTCAAAGCTGTAGCAGGCACACACAGTCAATCTTGCTAAGTGACAAAGAGCTAAAACTACCCGCATCTGACAATAAATTAATTTCAAATATAGGAAAGGGCAAAGTGGAAGCCAAAGCACAAAACTTGGAAAAATGTGAATCTCTTAGCTCTCCATTTACTGCTACTCACAAAACTGGTTAATCCAGACTCTCATCTGCATACTCAATTATGAGAATCCTAGCATGAGGGTGCTCCTAACCTATGAGGGGAACAGGATAAGTCTGTGATAGTCACATACAGCATTAACCAAGATATTGTCCACAAATAAATACATTATTTTTGGGAGACACCTTCCATTATACTCCAGAGAATTCTGTTTTCACAGAGCAAGGGACAACACTCTTTTTGCAGTGGCTTGCTTTTGCATATAGAATTGCTCCAGCTTTCACACAAAACTGTGTGAGACCAGGTGGCAGAAGGCAGCTTACAGTAGTGATGGTACCCCTTCACTAGAGCAATACTGTCCCCTCATTAATTCTACTAGCCCAGGCATCATCTACTCTGCAGTCTATATTCAATGTGGAAATGGCCAGTTGTGTAACTAGTCAGCCTTTTACCTTCAAGTACAGCTAGTGCAACATTTATGTTGCCACAGGTTGTTGTTTTTTTCCACCCTAGGGCACTAGAAATGACAGACCTTCCAGAATTTTTATAAAAAATCCACATGAAGGCACCTTACTTCTTCAGATGTAGAAGTGAAAGAAGCTTTTTTTTCAGGTGCATCTGTATTACTTGCTTAGTCTTACCCTTCTTCCTAGGTGTATACGTAAACTTTGTATGTAGTCTAACTGAACCACTGAAACAGATACACCTTACTTTCCCTCATTTGCCTAGAGAGCCTATTCTTCAGTGAGTTCACAATCATACAGCATCTGAAGTTTAAAAACTCTCTATTGTGCAGTTGTAACTAATAGTTCAAGCTGTTAATAATGGTATAGTTGAAAGTATAGTTATTTTAATAACTTAGAGGTATTCTATTCTAGAATACTTTTTCAAGTAAAATAAGCAACAATGACTTCACTATCAAATGAAGAAACACTTCAAAATGAAGGGTCATACAAATGAATTACCAAGGCACCTAGGACCATAGGGTAGTTTATCTGTAAGACAACAGGCTGCAGTACCCTCAAGCTCAGTCCGTTTAGTTTTGCTATTATAAAATTATCAATAACCATTCCACCTACCTTGAAGCTCTGCTGAAAAACAGTCAAGTACCAGACAATCATTAATAGTGTGCTTATTAGCACATCACCTTAAAGGACATGTAATGTACTTAGTGTACTGAAAACAACAGGAAAAAAGTTGATTAATATATTAATTTATTTATTTCAGTTTTAGTTCAATTGAACAACAGAGCAGGCAACTTTTTGCTTTGTGACATTACAGGGAATTTTTGAAACACTGTATTTCCATATTCTACAAAGTATGTTTGAAAAAAAATCAGATTATGGTTTCAACCATATGATAGTATGATGTCAGTGAAGAGGCAGCAGTCAGTAACTCAGCCTGGTGCTTTAGTTTATGTTTTCAGACATGCTTTTCACTTCATATTAAAAAATTATTTTAATTCATGTTATAAATGTCATCACACTTGGATAGCCAGAGACATCACTTAGTACAATAGGTATTTCTGCAGATCTCATTCTTTTAAGAGTTCACAATATTAAATTTTAAACTAGCTATAGATCACCCAAGTCTTGTCTCTAGACAAAATGTATTACCTGAAATTTGAGGTATAATATATACATAGGTTCCAATACAAATGTTGGGATGAATTTTCATACAAAATGTAACTGTGACATAGTGGACAATTTTGAAAGTAATGCATCCTCATCTCAACCAGATATGTTACTCATAAATTTTATTCTGTTTCCCTAGGAAATATGTTGTTGTCCATCACATCACAGTAGCATATTTTTTAAAAAAAGTTGATTGAGAACAATTGAACTACATTATGATGTTAACTTTTAGACAAATTTCTTGATTTCATCATAAAGTACTAATACAAAAGCTCCGCCCATGCCTCTCAACACATTCGACCAGGCACCTTTGAAGAACGCTTTGGATCCTTCATCTTTAGCTATCTTCTTCCAGCAATCAATTGTGCCCTTGTACATAATATCAGCTGTGGAAACAGACATAAAAGTGAGAAGGCTTGAAGTTATACAGCAAGTCTGTTTCAACTTTCATGTATTTAAAACAACAAGGAATAAGCAAAGCATAGCCAAGAATTTAAAATTAAGTAGTCAATTAATGAAAAGGAATTTTAATTCTCTACATGGAAATCAAAACAAATCAATTCTCAGCCTCTTAAGTGAACACGATAGAAATAACCAGAAGCGTATTTTCCATAGCTTTAAGATTCCAGTAAAAAGGTCATTAGTTTTCCGTAAGATAAAAAATACCCAGCATCTCCCATCATATCTTGATGAACAGATACTTCCTGCTGCCAGAACACCATAGGGACACTTATTCTTACCTCCCTTTCGGCCAGACTGCATCATCATCCTACGTCGCACAGTATCAAAAGGGTAAGAAACCAACCCTGCTACTGCAGTGACAGTCTGGGCAATCATCCAGCTCACTACGATATGCACATTCTTTGGATCAGGCAACATACCTGTCATCAAGAACAAATGAGAAGAGTCAGTACAGAGGGAAGGGGTTGTGGGAAAGACGGCTGTGTAAGGAACATTCACTCACTAACTCCAGGAGTCACTCAATCAAGCCTGCAACCTTCTCCCTTCATCTGTATTTGACTATTAGCAGTACTATGAGTGAAACCAGTCCACAGAACTGTTGGATTTTGGGATCTAAGCCCTCTTCACACTCCCTGACCAAAAGATCCCTCGTGCAGAACCCTCCCAGGCTTGTGTCATGTGCTACAATAAGTGGCAAGCTGCCGTACAAGCCCATCTGTACAAGCCTTAAGACAGAGAAAACACACT